GGTAATGATGACGAAGTGGAACTTGCGAGGCTTTGAATGGAAACTCAGTACAAAAATCAACATATTAAAAGCAAAACAAACGAAATAGGTAATTATGTGAAATGAAGACTGTTGGTGCCATTTTTGTCCGTTGACACTAAAAACATATTATTCATTATTTGATTGTTGATTATTGTTTCCGGTAAGGATTAGGTCAAAGATACGCATCGATCAATGAAATGTTTATTTAGATGGATTATGTAATGACCCTTAATCTTGTTTCTTCTACATTCTCAAAGCTACCTAATTCAGTTTGTTAAAAGAATATACTCATCTGAGGGCTTAAGTATACACATCAAAATATTGACCCACTTTTAATAAAACCCAATTCATTCAAACCCAACCTTTATTCGCTCACACGCTTGCATGAATCTGTCCTCATTTCCTCCCATGGATCATCAACTTAAACCGAAACAATGGTTGTCGCTGTGTGGAAACTTTTCCACAATATGATCGGAGAGAGCATGACCAGGAATATCGGAAAACAATGTTTTTCGATCAGCTTTGCTTTTTATCATTCGACACCAAATTGTGAGCATTTGTGCCCAGTTTACCCAGAAAATACATTGGTACCTGGAGCCCAAAACATGGTTAGTTGACAACAACACATGGCTTAAAACGTCACATTTTTCTTCTTAAGGTTTTAATTAGTCTCGAAAGTTCCTTAAACTGCACATTGTGAATTTGAACGAGCACTTTTAAAACAGGGTGATAAATCTGGTCACTGCGATAACTGACTTTCTATCAAGCAAGGCAGTGTTGTTGTTTTTTTCTAAAATGGTACTTATGGTAGCCGATCCAATGTCAATATGTGCAAAACACTCATGTTTATTTCAGTTCATTTTGTTGATATCTTTTGTGTACCTATTTTCGGCAATATGAACATCTTTGTGAGTAATTTATAGTCTATTGATTTTAGTTGTAGACTATCAGTAAACAATGAATAAACCTGTACTTTTGTTTCCGGTTTTGGTTATTAACTTTCAACTGGCTATTCAGATGACCTAACCCGGAAAAGAGTGAAATACAGCGAAACCCTAAGAGCGAAGAAGGGAAAGGAGAGGCGAGTGGAAAACAATAAGTGAATAAAAGGTGGTAACAATTTCAGAATACTATAGTACTATAAAATTACATGGGAATTACGGAACCACAGAAATTCGTCGTGCGATCTGATGCAAACCAACTTTCAAAGACAGCATAGATCAGTAAGATGGAACACTGGAGAGCTGAACATTGAGAATGAGATAACGGTATCTAAAACCAGCAGTCAATTGGCACGGTTTTCAAGCTGTTTTATTTTGATGCGGTTAAGCCGCAAACCCTTAAAACTGACGGTTCATTTCGGATAAGCACCAAATTTCGTCCTAGAAAATTTCAGTGAATTATCACAGAAGTGCTCATCAATAAAGGATTGGCACTGAACGCAGCGAACGGGGGAGCTGCCAACCACCAAACGTATTTCCAGTGTTCATTTCCCATCCTGGAGATTCATGCTCTTTTTTTGGATTGAAAACAAATGTCTGTCGGTGTATGGTACAATACAAAAACTGCACTTATGTATTTTGATTAACAATTTAATCTATTTTTTTTTAATACGGATAATAGTAGAAGGAAAACAGAAAACCTGTTTTGACAAATGGCATTGTTCATACGGCACTGATGTCACGGCACAATTCACTCCTATACTGTTTTGGGACAGGGTTTCAAAGGACTTTGATTGTCCTTGTAGGGAAAAATTAACCGCTCAGCCAAAATCGATTTCTATCATAGTGTTTCACCAGATTGAACCACCAAAAACAACTGAAATGAGATAGAAAGTTTATCGTTTGTCGGACATTAATTATTATTTCCAAATCGAGAACGACAATTTTTAATTGGCCACATTTTTTTGTTTCCGTCTCCAAGGTGGATATATCTGATATTGCACTATGGTGCAATTGGTGTGGATTCTCGCTCAGATCAGAATCCGGCCGGGGATTCAAGTCACCGAGTGTCCGGCTGTTGCATTGCGGCTGCATTTGGTGATGAGGAGATAACCAGTCAGGTATAAGTCATAAACTGTGTTTTGATCCCGATTCTCGCATGCCTGTATCTATCTAGAGACATCTGACTGGCTTTTGTATATGCTTTTCCCGGATTGATGCCTTAGTCGAATTCATCTCTAAGTTCATCCACTCCACC